CTCTACACTGCCTCGCTGGTCGCGGCCATTCCCACCGCCATCGAGCCCCGTCAGGCCGCCGACAGCATCAACAAGCTGATCAAGAACAAGGGCAAGCTCTACTTCGGAACCATCACCGACCCCAACCTGCTCGGTGTCGCAAAAGACACCGCCATCATCAAGGCCGACTTTGGCGCCGTCACCCCCGAGAACTCGGGCAAGTGGGATGCCACCGAGCCCAGCCAGGGCAAGTTCAACTTCGGTAGCTTCGACCAGGTCGTCAACTTTGCCCAGCAGAATGGCCTCAAGGTCCGAGGTCACACTCTGGTCTGGCACTCTCAGCTCCCTCAGTGGGTCAAGAACATCAACGACAAGGCTACTCTGACCAAGGTCATTGAGAACCACGTCACCCAAGTCGTTGGACGCTACAAGGGCAAGATCTACGCCTGGGTATGTTTTCTTCCCTCGATCTTCTTGGAAATGACTTTGCTAACATGTTCAGGACGTCGTCAACGAGATCTTCGACTGGGACGGCACCCTCCGCAAGGACTCTCACTTCAACAACGTCTTCGGCAACGACGACTACGTTGGCATTGCCTTCCGCGCTGCCCGCAAGGCTGACCCCAACGCCAAGCTGTACATCAACGACTACAGCCTCGACTCCGGCAGCGCCTCCAAGGTCACCAAGGGTATGGTTCCCTCCGTCAAGAAGTGGCTCAGCGCCGGCGTTCCCGTCGACGGCATTGGCTCCCAGACTCACCTTGACCCCGGTGCCGCTGGCCAAATCCAGGGTGCTCTCACTGCCCTCGCCAACTCTGGTGTCAAGGAGGTTGCCATCACCGAGCTCGACATCCGCACTGCCCCTGCCAACGACTACGCCACCGTCACCAAGGCCTGCCTCAATGTCCCCAAGTGCATTGGTATCACCGTCTGGGGTGTCTCTGACAAGAACTCTTGGCGCAAGGAGCACGACAGTCTTCTGTTCGATGCTAACTACAACCCCAAGGCTGCTTACACTGCCGTTGTCAACGCTCTCCGCTAAATGTGGCTTGCGTGACAGGATCAGATCTCTGGTCTTGAGGGGGAGCATCGTTGCAGTTGCTTTTGGTCACCACCGTATTCTTCTTTTATAACTCTGTATATAGTTGTTTGTTTGTACAAAATCTCGACAAATGGTAACTGCGTGGTCAGTTGTTGGAAGATAACTGGGCTAGTAGTCAATACATATCCTTACCATTGGAATTTCCGTTCCTTGTGATTCACTTGCCCTCGATGTCTTGACCAGTGTATTATTATGTACCTTTGACAAGACTACTTAGTGAGATAAAAGTTACGTGCGTGAAACTAGTCCTTCAGATGCGAGTGCCACCAACAGTGCCTAGGTGCAGCGACGCTCATAACTCCAGTAGTTGAAGATGGCCTTTCCCGGCCAGCCAAGATCTTGTCGTGATAGCGAACGAGAAAGGTCCGGTAGATATTGTCTGTTCCTAGATGGCAATAGCCAATCGGGAAGTATTCAACAGTCTACGCCGGAGCTACAGTGCCACCATGATCCGGAAACTAGATGAAGAGCCGGAAAACAAGATGATTTGATCTAATGGGGAAGATTGCACGCTTGGCGTTTCTAGGCATTTGCGGGGATATGCATCCTCATATGGGCCAGTGTGTCTGTGCGTTGGGGTTTCCAGATCGAAACGATAGGCTCGTTCACAGTGACGACGACCACCTGAACCGGTATGCATCACTCGTATTCTCTGCACATGTCGGATCAAACTTAGATTGACGCTCGATCTCACTGCTTTCCGTGATCTCTTCGAGCCACTTCAGCCACAAACTCTACTTTCCCAAACATTCCCGACATATCTCGAGAAACCTGACAGGCAGCGACGCCAACGGACGAAATAATTCGCTCAAGACAATGACGATGTTCTCGCCAAGACATCTTCAACACTCCTTTCCCACAAACACCTTCCAAGAAAGCCTTAGCCTGCACATTTAAGCATGATTTTATGCGTCCTTACCCCGCCTGCCAAGATGATCTTGGCGTGGAGGAGGAGGGAATTAAAGTTCTTCGAGAACAACGCTATCCAATGGGTTTTTCGTATTGGGAATCCCCGCATTGCTTTACGGGCGCAATGGAGATGATGGCTGAGACGATACGGTATCTTGTGGATTGACGTCAACAAGTGAGATGCAATGAAACCTTGTTGTTGGGGAGGATTGTAACTGCATGATGAAATGGTGGCATTGAGATGTCTGGGCGAGGCTGCGTATAAAGAGGGAGATCGCCCTCGCATCGTATCACGGTCATCTGCCAACAAACTACCATAAATACAACAACAACATGGATGCTCGTAACTCTTTGAACAAGCGAGATAGAGACCTTGGTGCTCTCGATGAGGTCGAGGAGGTCCTCAAGACAGCCCCCCAGGCACGCGACTACTCAGGTGCCCATGAAAAGACTGACCCCCGTGAGATCGCCCTCGTGCGAAAGCTCGACTGGTGGATCATGCCTATTCTCTGGCTGATGTACTGGCTCAATTACCTCGTCAGTCTTTCCGTCAGGTGACTTTCAGTGGATGCTGACCATCTCAGGACCGAAATGCCATCGCCCTCGCTCGTCTCAACACCATCGAAAAGGACCTCAACCTCACCGGTTCCCAATATCAGACCTGCGTTTCGATCCTCTTTGCAGGTTATGTCATTGTTGGTATTCCGGCGAACATGGTCGTTACTCGCGTCCGACCCAGTATCTGGATGGCGTCTTGTATGACGGTCTGGGCCATCATCAGTGGCTTGACGGCGTTGAGTCGCAACTATACCGGTTTGCTGCTGACACGCTTCTTCTTGGGCATCACTGAGGCGCCGTATTATCCTGGTGCACTGTATATCCTTGCGAGATTCTACACTCGCAAGGAGCTTGCGACTCGCATCTCGATTCTGTATACCGGAAACATCCTTGCCACGGCGTTTGCGGGATTGATTGCCCTGGGAATCTTTGAGATGGACGGAATGGTACGTCGTCAACCCCATCACTTCACGGTCACTAACATATCAGGCCAATCTCGCCGGCTGGCAATGGCTCTTCATCATCCAAGGCGCCGTAACCCTCGTAGTCGCTCTAGTCGGCTTCTTCATCCTCCCCGACGAGCCCCTCACAACACGCTGGTTGACCGAACAAGAACGACAACTAGCCCATGAGCGAACACAGCGCGACACCGTAGGAAATGCGGGCGAATCAACAAGCTTCTCTGGTATTCGGGAGGCAGCGAAAGATCCCAAGGTTTGGCTTTTCGTCGTCATGCAGCATTGCCATCTTGGTGCAAATGGTTTCAAGAACTTCTTCCCCACAGCTGTGAAGACGCTCGGGTTCAACCAGACTATCACCCTGGTCTTGACATGTCCCCCTTACCTGATTGCTGGAGCGATTTCGATTGCGTGGTCTTGGTCTTCTGGACGGTTTAATGAGAGAACTTGGTAAGTTCGTCTGCACATGAAGCTTGTGTTGGTGCTAACTCTTTAGGCATATTACCATTGCCAAGGCTGTCGCGGTGTTTGGATTCGTTCTTGGCTGTGCGACACTCAATACTGGTGCTCGATATTGTAAGTTACAGAACTTAACAAAGCGGTAACATGGACACTAACGAGTATAGTCGCAATGTGCGTCTTTTCGATCGGTACATACGCAGTCAACAGCATCATTCTCGGTTGGGTCTCTGCCACTTGCTCTCAGACCAAGGAGAAGAAAGCTTGCTCCCTCGCCATCGTCAACTGTATCGCTGTCGCATCTTTCATCTGGACTCCGTACATGTGGCCTTCTTCTGACGAACCTCGCTACACCATGGCCATGTCTTCGAGCGCTGCTCTGAGTGTCGCGACTGCGATTGGTGCGTGGGGAATGAGGTTCTGGCTGATGCAGGAGAATAAGAAGATCCGACAGTCTGAGAACGAGTCGACGTTATACTACGCGTATTAAATGGAGGACAGCACGTCAGGAAGTCAAGCTCAGGCTCTCTGTTTGCATATAGTTTGCGAGACAGGGTGGTGAAAGTCTTCTTTAAATACGTACACCCATGTGTTCTTGCATCAGGTAGTCCAACGATGTGAGCATAACAGTGTTGATTGATGCCTAAAGCTTATGACGTCTCAACGAGACATATCAAGCCGACACACTGAAGAGTATAACAGTGTGGCAATAAAACCTGACATCTTCGCACGTGCAAGCGTTCAGCTTGGATCGTTTATCTGGCATGGTGGCTTGGTGGCTGGAGTGCATTTTTGAGAGTGTTGTTCTAAGCTAACAGATCTGTCAGCCAATGCCTTCTTGCATCGTGCACAGATATGTTATGCAGCTGAGGCCTCGTATCACCACACACCTTAACTACTCCGTACCTCGTGGATGATCCACCAACGGACGGCCTCCATGCATCGCGCATCATGCTCAGTCTCCACAAGCGGACAGTGTCCGTATGTGCGCATGCACGCATGTGAAGTTTACGAATCAAGCATAGCAAATGTCATACATTCCGTCCAAAACTGTGTAACTAACGATAAGAAACAATAAAACCCTTAGTCCGTAGTAATGGTTATCTGTCCGAAATCAGACCAGATCCTGGTATCGATAAAAGAGTAACCCCCTTCCCCGTATTTCTCAAGTCGAAATTCACGATGCGCCGATAAATCCCCCCAAAATACCAATTTTCCCCTAGCGTTCCCCGGAAATGAAAATCATACTGCATTTGTGTACGATGCGTCGTGTATCACCCACCTCCGTGGCATCAGCCTCCGTATTGGCCACCACTGGACCTTGGGGTCGTTGAGATAAGAAACATAACGATAAAAAAGACGATTTGGCTGCATTGGGCAGGCGATTGAGTATGCCGCAAGATTTACGTGTTCTCGGAAAAGAATGGAATGCCGTATCAGACGTTTCTTCGATAGTTGGATCTGAATCTGGAGGGATCCTGATGCCCTCCTGACCCTCCTGAGACTGACTGACTGACTCTCGAAACAGACGACGCCTAAATGAAGAAGTTGTTGAATTCATCAGTGGTTTCTTCCTGGTCGGTCGTCCACGTGATAGTCGGGTTAGAATCCCCTGGGATTCTGGTGCCCCGACAATAGACTGATGGCCGAGCTCGAACGCAAAGTTGCTGAAGCTGGGGAACAAAGCGGAGAATGGCGCGTACGAGATGGGAATACCAATCTTTCTTGGTGTCGAATTGACCCTCATGCCATGGGGAAAACCACTCCTCAGATGTGCCGACGCGTTCCCCGACCGTCTCGTCCATGAGCACGAAAGCAAAACGGGTCAACTGTGGCATGGCTCCCAGAGCCATCATGACCTTCGGGATCATGGCATTCTATGAGTACACGCCAGTTAAGAAACGGCCAAGGTACCCCAAGGACGGTGTAGGCCACTCACCATCGTATCCCGATCTTTTTTGATTCGGAATTGCTGCTGGCCCCAAGGGAATCTAGGGTTGAGAAACTCGCCAAGAATCAAGGTCTCCAGCTGCTGGAAGTTGTGGTTGATATCACCTAGAATCCTTGTGGTTAATCGTGGGTTTGAATCGCTTCTTGGCATCCCCTCAAGACCCATGACTGCAAGCCGCTTCAGGTGAGGAGCTTGAGTTCTCAGTACCTCGTACATTTCGTAGCAAGATACCGTGACCTTCTTGAGTCTCGTGGGCTCGCGACAGAAGTCCCTGACAAGTCCATTGATTGGATGTGGCTCGAGAATCAACCTGGGTGGATCCAAATGGAAGCAAGCGTGTCTGTAAACTTTTGGTTAATGAAAGTGAAGTATCAATGGCCAGAGAAGAACTCACTTGACGTATTGGGCCATAGGCCCGGATGGAGAATCCGGATGGTCCTCCATAAGTAGCGCCAGGCGTGCGACAATCTGAGAAGTATCGCCAGCAAGACTGACTTTCACCGGGTAATATGGAAGGGTCTTGAGTCGAAGTCTCTTGTTGACCAAAGTCAAAGCCTTCATGGACGGCTGGTCCAGATCCTCGCATGTGATGAGGAGGAGCTCCACAGGCATTCGGTCAAGGGTGGCTTCGGGATTGGAGGGCGCCATTGTATGAAATTGTCTGGTAAATGATACGTGTGTAGTGGTGCGCTTGAAATAATGTCGGGTATATTCTTCGAGAGACGATGGGATTGATGAGGATCCTAAGGATGCTGAAGAGGCTGGGTGAGAAGAATGAAGGAATAAGGATCAGAGTGGGCGATTTTGGAGGAAGATGAAATGAAATGATGAAATGATAAAATGATGAAAGGATAATTGAATGAGATAACTGGATGTGGAATGAAAGGAAGAGAGAAAGAAAGATGGGGAGATGTGATGGAGCGAAGAAAAGAAGCTTAAAGAAAGGTCGGCTCTGTCCCTATGTATGGAGCTCAAGTTGCTGCGCCAAAAAGAAGTGAGTGAATGAATCACTGCCAATCACCGTCACGCCAATGTCGTGACATCGCACAGGTCAGGCGAGAAAGGTTATGCTGGGAGCCAGACCAAAGTTTCGAAGCAGAATATGGCGGTATTGTGATCCGCTTATGACATTCTGGGGATATATCATGCGTCAGATCAGAAATCAGATCAACAGAGAGAGGGATTGCCTATCCTTTGTAGGCGGTATTCCAATCGACCAAGTCCCGTCTGATCCTATGATCTACAAGTAGCGAATGACATGATATACTCCTGAGTGATGATGTGTTTGTGATTTCAGGGGTTCTCTCATGTTACGGACCGAACATCCTGTCATCCAGCAACGTACAATCTCCCACCATTGGCCACATAGCTTCTTTCTCACTGTCGAATTGATCTAAATTTAATTCTAAAGAAAACGTGAATCCACCGTTTTTGATTCATGGAATTATGCTGTGGCCGAACTCATAATCAGTCACCACTCAGGCCTGATGCGTCGAGCGCGAGAACACTGGCAGGAAACGTCCCGATATCATCTCCAAACCTTGCAAGACCTCGTTGAGCTTGTATTCTTGGGGCTAAAGGATTCTACGTGTCAATTGGGGTCAGCCGACTTGGTTGAACTCCATGAGTATGGTGTCATTCTTATTAGAGCGCATCCTCGCTCTTGAATATTGATTCACGACCTTGAGAAGGGCAGTCATCCAATGTGAGAGTGGTTGCAGATATATCATGTAACACTTCTATATTTGCCTAGTCGCTCAGAGTAGCTTTAGCCACCCGTGCCAGCGGAAGCCCCCTGAGCTGTTCATACTCAATGCAATATCGAGCCTGTTTTGATCTATAGAATTCTTTTGCGTACATTATTGTTATGGCGCACTCACGCCCTCCAGGCTCTCATTATACAAGAGCTCTAGTGGAGCCAAAACCATCGAGTTAAAAGCCAAGCAAATCTGTTGCCAAGTCTAGATCTTGTCTCTTGACGAATTGATGGAGATGGAGCACCAGGTTCATCGCCGTATCCAAGCTAATGCTGTCGTGGAAGTACCAACCTTCTCTCTGTTGAATAATCATTGGGTCGTTCCCAGGCCGGATTGAACAAGTCTCTTAGTACGCCAGTACCCGGATCAACATCAGAGGTGTTACCACGCTGTCTAAATTAGAACGGTTGCTGTCCGTTACTGTCGACAAACTCCTTGACCTCCTTGTCAACACAAATATACCGGCCATGGTACGACAAACAACAAAAGATCTTAGCAAAGATCTTGATCCTTCGCTCAAGAGGTCGATGTTTCCAATCGAGCTTATCGCGGATATCTTCCATTAAGCTTATATAGTGACCATCACCTCCCATGAAAGTGAGAAAGCTTAGCTGAACAGCTTGTTCTGTTTGAGGCAACTTTAACAGAAAAGCGGTGAGATCAGTTTGCGCCACCAGTACGTTTGATAACCCGAAGTGCGTGAGCTGCTGCCATCAGTCGATGGGAAAGACGTCGAATAACGACGTGTACTTATTGGATTTCCACTGTCCAAAAATGCCGATTCGTGGGAAAGTCAGTATGAAAGCTAAAATACCTCATATTGGTTGGTGGCTTCACAAAGGGCATCGTAGAAGTACCCTTCGTCGTATATTCCTCAGCAAGATAGAAACCAACGAGAAGTGATAGGTGAAGCTTTTGGAAGCCGGGACGCTTGAGTATATCGCAGAAATTTTTGTATTTTTCCCCTCGGTTCAAGGCGAAGTGATTGATGCCAGTATGAAGTTGATGAGTGTCAAACATCAATTTCGTGACGTTGCGCTTGTCTTCAGCCAAGACCTTGGTGACGATTCGAAACCTTAAGGCCTCTGACGCGGCTCTCCACGGACTAGAAACCTAACGCTGATTCTGTCCTAAGCTTCGCCAGTCAACTTTGTCGCGAATGTCGGCGAGGTTGCGCTCATGAGTACATTGGTCTTCAAGAATCGCAAGGGAGCTCAGATCGAGAGAGCACCGCTGATCGTAGCTACATGAGTAATGCATGATGCTCACTCTGCACCATTGGACGTACCACTCAACCACCTATACGTTTCCTGGCTGTATGATTCTGCGGAAGCGCCATCTTCAAGCTGTCCTCTTTAGACCATTTGCTGACAGTGCCATGTGACACGAGGTCTGTGTATCCCACTAGATGGATTCCAGTAGGCTCTTGATCTCGCGATTTGGCAGTAAATTGAAGACAGCACTGATCATCTCGATGGTTAGGTGCTGAATCTCTATCACATAGGCTTGATCATGGTGCAGTCATATTAGCTGAACCACGACGCTAATTTTGAATAACGGGTGATTCTTAGTGAACTCCATTGGATAGAGCGACATCAAGGGGAAATCTTGAACGGGCACTACTAGGCAACAGAGCTCTCTGGGTGCGCATTGTGCACCAACGGATCATGAGTTTCCATTCATATTGTTATTGTTCGATACTAAGCAGTTCGATCGTGTGAGTCGATGGTTCATGGCTCCGAGCTTTTGAGGTCCTTGTGGTTATATCTCAGATGAGACCGATCGTAGTGCTGATTCCGAAAAGAAGAGATGGGTTCTAAAGGCATTCTGTGCGTCTTCGTATGGCCCCTACTTTTGGAGTTGATGGGAGGTCAGAAAGGGCATTCAGTTTGATGAGCATTATGAAATCTTGATGAAGAGATCTTGATGGTCTCAAAGGGTCCTTTTGTATTAATAGACCTGTCGTGAACACGCATTGCCCGCTTTCAGTTCTACTGTAGTGTCTCTCGACGTATGCTAGCGACTGAGACAATCATCCCGACATAAATCATCTCTACTTGTAGAGACGACTAGCTCTTTCAAGATCATTCCAGAACTCACACTGTCTTCCTCGACCTCTGTCCTCCTCAACAACAGTAAAGTTTCCAGGATTTACCAAAAGCTGCTTGGCATACGCACTTCCCTTCTCACCCGCCTTGTACTGCGGCCACTCCACAGTTCCGTCCAACCTCTTCTTGTTAGGATCGCCTGTCAAGACAAAGCTGTTGATATAGCGATAATAGATTCGCGCAGTCTCAGGATATGCAACGTGGGGGTCATTCCAGATGTAAGCGGCATCAGAGGCGTGAGGGATTCCCTTCCATGACTGCGCAACCAACGGAAAGTCAGGAGTGTTGAAATGAAGACTCCAGGTGGGAACTCCTGCACCAGATGTAGTGAGGGCGGTGTGGCGGCTCATGCAGATGTACGCCATGTCGGACCATGCTGCTGAGATGCGGTTGTACTGGGTGCTGTTGGGGGATCCGGCCCATGGGGAGTCTGGATATGCTACAGGGTCTGGATATAGTTCGTTGATGAGGGCGAGGTCGGTGATGTTGAGACCAGGACTGATACGATGCCAGAATTGAACAAAGTCGTCGTTGGTTTCCAAGTTACCAGGAGTGTAGTATTTACCTTCGTTGGAGGTATAGGTCGTGATGATGGGGAGATGGTGGAACGTGCCCTCTTCTTCACTCTTGGATCCTGCTTTCTCGATCAAAGGACCTCCAATTGACGGCTGCCAAGGCCAGTTCAGTTGATCTTTAGCATCTTCGTAAGCCTTTGCCGAGTACTCCCTGATCTTTTGTGCAGACGCACTGCGCAGACAACCCATTTGTTCCTTGTCGCTAACATCGGTGGAGCAGTTGATATACTTCATCAAGCCTGCGAAGTCTTTCTTGTATCTGGGATATTCTGGACCTGAGAATGATCGAGCTGTCGCTGAACCAGATTGAAGAATCGCGCGCGCAAAGAGAGGCTTGTTCTTATCAGAGTTATAGTTATGGAAGTAGTGAAATGCCGTAGAGTGTGCTCCAGCTGATAAGCCTCCAAGTGTGATCTGTCGAGGATCTCCGCCAAACGAGCTCAGGTGCTTCTGCAGGAATTGCAAGAAGAAGCGCTGGTCTTGCAGACCCAGATTGAGAAGTCCCTCACGCTCGAACAGCTTGCTGGGTAGGAATCCGAACGCATTGAGACGGTAGTTGAAAGAAACAACAACAACCGGCTCAGCAGAAGAAGCAACGAAAGAAACGCCATCAAAATCTCGTCCTGAGAATGACGCAAAACCACCGCCGTGGATCCAAACCAGCGTTGGTAGTTTCTTACTGAGCGGCACGCCTGGTGTACGGAAGACATTGAAGTTCAAGCACGCTTCGTCTTGTTCGTCTGGGTTAGGATACATGAGATCCTGCAAGCAAACAGATCCGTATTTTGTAGCATTTTGCACGCCCTTGAGAGATTGAGGTTGGGACTGTAGAGTGCGAAATCGTCTGTCGTCTACGGGTTGCTCGGCATAGTCAATCCCAAGCCAGGCGTTGACCGGTTGCGGAAGGTTGTCTCCGAGCAAAGTCTTGGAGATGTTTGTCCCAGCGAATGTACCATAGCCTTGAAGAGTAACTTGTGGTATAGAAGAATTCGCTGCAGCTAGGAACGAGAAGAAAAGAGATCCTAGCACAACGGTTGGAGACATGAGAGAGTACATTGTGTCCGAGAAAGTCGAATTATCGAGCTGATGCTCCATGACTTGTTGTAAACTCATCGTCTCTTATACTCAATCCAGCTGTTTTGGAGCTCGGTATAGTAAAGAGGTGTTTGTAGTGTTTAAGTCAGTTTGGTCTCGGGCCATGGATCTGAATGCCGAAGCGGAACAAGGTTGAAACTACCCCGCAGCCGGGACAAGGCCGTACAGATGCAATAGATAAGATTGCCGAGCTGGCCATTCATCTTGAAGAACATGTATCTCGCTTTACGATAGACGTGATACAGTTCACGCAAGTCTCTCTAGAATTTACTGCTTACGGCAATATGATCTGCAGGCACTTGAGTAATCAACCAACCAGGTGGTGCATGTTGATCTCACAACCAATCTTGAATTGAGAAACATCAATTCTTGGCTGAGAAAAGAACTATGTCAATGCATGTCTAAAAGCAGTTAGTTTTTGCAAAAGGTAAGTGTGACTTGCAACGGTATTGACCTGATAAGCGACGGCTGCATCACACAGCACTGCTGCAGTGACGTATCTGAGGTAAGTGCCATGATAAAACATCCAGCAATCTCGTCGGCAACCAGAAGTCTCTCCAGTGGCTTGCATTTGCTTCACACTATTCGCATTTGAGATGATGCCAGATCGAAGATCGAGAAGCCATATCAATGGTTGAATCTGTCTTGGTGTTGAAGATTTCTGAAGATCAACAATCGGAAAGCTTCCGGCGGAAGGGTCTTCCGACGGAATCTTGCTAGAGACTCAACCAGATGCTGCGAAGACCAGCGTTGGCATTATCAAGAGGGTCTTTTCTTGGAGACGAAGAGGTAAATATCCCTGAAGTCAAGACAGTCCATGTCGAGGTGAAGAATCTAGAATGATCATCAAGCCAGTAGCTCGCCATGGCCTTGAAACTGCGTCCTACTTAGATAACGATACTGACTCAAAAACATGTAATGTTAACTGGGCAATACATCATGATATAGTCAAATTGACTCTCAACTCAGCAGTGTGTTTGAGTTCGCTGCCTCCATTATCCACTACGACTGCGAGACGTAACATCCACATGACCCGAGGGGACCACGACTCCATCGCCATAAATGAACCCACAGGACTCATCTATAAGAACGGTCCTCTGCTCGAGACTGTCTTTAATGCATTGTCGCATTATTTCCAGCAAACGACCCAATTATCTAACATGCCTAACAGCTGATGCTTACATCACGCACCTCACAGGTCTAATAGCGATGTCAGCGGTGATAAACTACGATACTAGACAGATTCAGCGTGTTCATTAACACCAGAGAAATTTACCTAGGTTTATTGGTATATCATCCCATTAGGCTCATCCATCCACATGTTGGCGCATTGTTTTCCAAACCCACTATCTGGTGAGCTATTCAGATGCAAGGGGCGAGCACGCGTAGAAACTGTACCAATCTTCTCTACTTAAACTTCTACGCGACGAGTGCGAACTGTAGCTTTTTTGTGGGTGATGACCACCAAGCTCTAACAGATCAAATGACGAAATTGGGTAGCACCTGGACACGAGCCACCATGCTCACTTCGCCAGCAAGGCTGTTGAGTATTTGAAATCTCGGATATTTATTCCTTGGTCCTAATTATACATGTGAAATATTGGTTGCAGAATCCACAAATAATTGTAGCTAATTTTGCAAATCAACATGGTCATCCTTGTCTTGGAATTAACGAGGTCAGTTAAGTCAGCCCTATCGATATCCCTGTCTTATCGATACCGATAAGGAACAGGTTCATCGTACAGAATGAGGAGGTCAATCTGGACGTTAGGGTGGCTTGGTGTAGTATTAGTCGGATGACGGATGGTAAACGCATACTTACGGTGTAAAGCCTGGCGTCAAGTCAAATTTGACGCCCTTTGCCATGTCTCTGGGGGTCACGCGTGCTGGAAATTGAACCAACGCTGGGTCGTCATCTGAGTAGCCCCGCTTACCCTGTACGCTCACTTCAATTTTCATCATCCAGTTTTCTGTATCAGGATAAGAGAAAACAAGCATGTATTTGGTCTTCAATGTTCTTCACTGATTTTTCTCCCGTCAAAAAATGGCTTACCGTCTAATATTTGACCGAAACGTATCTCAGTCGAGTTTCAAGGCTTATCATAGTCAACATTTTGGTGTCCCATCAATGACAATGCGGCGCCGGCGGGCTGTTGGGATCAATGATGTTCCATCCCTAACGCCGCTTAATTTGCCATATTTGGCGTAGCTTGAAGCCCCCGAGAAGGCCTGCCTCGGCAAAAGAGGTGACGGACCGGCTAGACATGGAGTTTCTGCTACTTTGCCCGATTTGGAATGAGAACCCGGCAATAAAAGGCGTCAAGATGCGGATCAACGCGGGGATGTCATCGACGCCCTGATTCTTGTAGATATATAAGGACACTTCATTCTTCTACATCTTCTCTCTGTATGCTATAGATATAGAAAGACATTTACGAACAAAATGACACATACAAAGGAAGCAACTGTCCCCCTCGGGGAGTACCTCTTTACCCGTCTCAAGCAACTCGAGATCAACTCTATTTTCGGCGTTCCAGGCGATTATAACCTCAGATTGCTGGACTACATCAAACCGACTGGTATCAACTGGATCGGAAACTGCAATGAACTCAACGCCGCCTATTCCGCAGATGGGTACTCTCGTATTCAAGGGCTCAGCGCTGTGATCACCACTTTCGGCGTAGGCGAACTCTCAGCGATCAATGGCATCGCCGGCGCTTATTCTGAGCGTGCCCCAGTCATTCACATCGTTGGTGCACCATCAAGAACCCTCCAAAGTGCAAGGGCCTTGGTGCACCATACGTTTTTGGACGGAGAGTATGGAAGGTTTGCGGAGATGCATCGCCATGTTACTGCTGCGCAGACTCGTTTGACGGATGTGCAGACTGCAGCTGATAAGATCGACTGGATCATTGAACAGGCCATGATCCATCAGAGGCCGGTCTATCTGCAGATTCCCGATGATCTGGTCTCAATGCATGTCTCAACGGCCAATTTTGAGAAGAGGCCTGTCATTCGCCCTGCGCCGTCTACTGCTGAGATCAGCCCAGAGACCGTTGACAAGATCTTACAGCGTATCTACTCTGCTACCAAGCCTCTCCTCTATGTTGACGGCGAGAGTCGCAGTACCGGCGCTATTGACGAGATCAATAAGCTCATCAATACTACTAACTGGCCAACCTGGACAACGGCATTTGGAAAAGGTCTCATCAGCGAAGAGTTGCCCAACGTTCATGGCATATACCTCGCCGACGATGGCGATAAAGTGTCTCACGACTATTTCAAGTCTTCTGATCTGATCTTGTTCTTCGGTCCACACATGAGCAATATTAACACTGGCATCTTCAAGGCGATTCCGGAGGAGAGTGTGACGGTTTCGTTTTCGCCTGGTCAAATCAAGATTGCTGGCCAGGTCATTCGGGATGTGGACCCTCGGCAGTACCTTCAAAAGATTGTCAGCCAGTTTGACTCTTCAAAACTTGCCAAGATTGAGAGTCCTGCCATCGCGACAAAGGCGCCAGTTGAGCCTTCATCGTCGGACGCTATCAACCAAGCTCAATTCTATCACTACGTTAACCCCATGTTCCGACGTGGCGATATTGTTCTGACCGAAACTGGTACTGCTGCGACTGGTGGAAAGGCCTTCAAGCTTCCCCAAGACTGTAGCTACTTTACATGCGTGACATGGCTGTCGATCGGATACATGCTCCCCGCCACGCTCGGTGCAGCGCTAGCCCAACGGGATATGAGGGGTTCGCAGCGAGCAATTTTGTTTATCGGCGATGGAAGTCTACAGATGACTGCCCAAGAGATCAGCACAATGATCAAGCAGAAGCTCAACGTAGTCATATTCGTCATCAACAACAACGGATACACAATTGAGCGGGCCATTCATGGGAGGAATGCGGATTACAACGACATTTCGCCGTGGAACCACCAACATGCCCTTGGACTGTTTGGATTGAGCCAAGAAGAGGCATCAAAGCGATATTTCTCGGCAAAGACATTTGCGGAATTGAGGACAGCGATGGACTCGAAAGCGGTACGGGAGAGCGAGGGAGTCACGATGATTGAGGTCTTCATGGGCCAAGAAGATTGCACTGGCGAGTTGAAGGAATTGCTGGACAGGCAAATGGCGCGAGAAAAGAGCCAGTAGATCAGATCAGATCAGATCAGTGGAGCAGAATGAGCAGATACGGTCGGGATATATCTGACTGAATCATCAAGTTCTAGTAAGCTTACCCGCCCGCGTCAGCTCAGCAAGCCACACCGTGTCAGCGTGTCTCACTCAATCATGAAGTTTGAGACTTTTAGGTCCAATCGTCGGTAAACGCTCTTCCCGCCGGTGAATTATCCGGTCCAGTCCAGTCCAGTTCAGTTCAGGAGCCGGCAACACCAGATGAAAGTCAGAAACGCTAGTCTTGTTCGGATAAGCCGGCAGGCCCATTATTTCAGCAAAGTTCTGTAGCTTATGGTAGTCTGTAGTGATGATGTCGTAGTGAAGGTGCTAGCTACACGACAAGGTTAAATTGCTTGACCTAAATAAAGTAGAAGATCACTGTTTACGAGGGCTAATTTAAAGCATGAAAATCATGAGGCTGACATTGACAAGAACCAAGATTGGATTTCTCTTTTTCCACCACAAATCAAGGATGAGGGATGCATAAATCGTCAGCTGGGCGCTAAGAGTGAGTCGAGCTAGCGCAGGCACAGCACACTGAGCAGTGAGCACAGCACGTTACGGTTTAGCCTAGCGCAGGGGTAAGGGATGAGATGACTCGTCGTATAGCACATGGGGCTAATCCCTGCTGCTTGTCGCCCGCCTCCTCCGCGAGCCGTATAGCGAGGACCAATGGGATTGGCGAGGAGTGGCCGAGTTCCGGACCCATTGAGATGGTAAATTACCTCTTCGTATTGAAAACCTGTTCTGTTGCTGTAAATAAACACGAGCTTTTTGGTGGTTCCTGATCCCCGCAATTTGCTAGACGGGAGTGGACTCTGCTCTGGGTCTGGCTCTGGGCATCGATCGGTTTCGGCATCGGTAGTAACGTTCACTTCAGCTGAGGCGAAGATGGCTTTATAAACCCCCATCCCCTTCTGCCTTGTACACTTTCCTTCTTCTCATCCCATCCACGACAAGTCCACTCTCGTTTACAGTCCAACTTTTTCGTGCTCAATAAACACTTACACTCGCTTAAGCTTATTCCAGCACCAAACCGTCAAAATGGGTTTCATCAAGTCTGCCTCCATCGCCAGCGTCCTCGTCGGCGCTGCCACCGCTTCTCCCTACTATGCTCCCCCCTCCAACGAGACCGTCAAGTACACCACTGAGGTCGTCACTCACCTGACCACCTACTGCCCCGGGGCCACCACTCTCACCTACGGCCAGAAGACCTACACCATCACTGAGGCCACCACCCTCACCATCGAGGACTGCTCTTGCACCATCACCAAGCCCGTTGCTACTGGCACTCGCTATGCTCCTCCTCCCAAGCCCACTCACGCCAAGGACTGCGCTGAGATGTGCTCTGACAAGTACGATGACTGCCGTGTCGCCCCCAACGCCAACATGGCTACCTGCGCTGCTAAGTACGCTGCCTGCTTGAACTACAACCCTTGGGAGAGCGGCAAGTTCGTCAAGCCTACCTCTTGCCACGCTGGTGGAAAGCCCACTGCTGTCTACACCACCGAGGTTGTCACCGCTGTCACCACCTACTGCCCTGAGGCCACCACCCTCACCTACGGCAACAAGACCATCCCCGTCACTGCTCCCGGCACTGTCACTGTCCCTGACTGCCACTTCACCACCACCAAGCCCATTGTCCCTACCGGCTACACTCCCCCCAAGCCTTCTTCTCCCGCTGAGAACAAGGGCTGTGCTGAGAAGTGCTCTGACGCCTACAACCAGTGCCGCACTGGTGCTGACGCCAACATGTCCTACTGCGCTGCTACCTACTCCGAGTGCCTTGGCTACTCTCCCTTCAACGGTGAGGGTTCTCTCGTCACCCCCACTGCTTGCTCTGTTGCCCCCGTTGCCACCAAGCCTGCTACCGCTCCCGCCTACAACCCCCCTGCCGGTACCCAGCCCGCTGCTACTGCTCCTGCTACTACCCCTACTCACGTCGTCACTGCTGGTGCCGCCCAGGTTGTCCCTGCCGGTATCATTGCCGTCGTTGGTGCTCTTGCCATGCTCTAAATGGTCAATGGTGTGATTGTTGGAGGGGAGGAGGTGGATGGTGGACTTTTAACTTCATCCATATATAATAATTTGTGCTAGATCTACCGCATATATACGCTTATAGACAATTGAAATACGATTTGGTGCTTCGAACTTTTCTATACCCCAGTGATGTCTTCAACCCATGTATCACAGGCCGTTCTATTGGAGTTCCCGAAACTTGTGAGTCATGACAGTAAGCTTAATTAACTCTCCTTCAACCATGATGGGACTTTGCCCGAGAATTGCTGGCCGGGCGTCTAGGCTAATGAGAATGCGAAGGTGACAGTTGTCTTACCGATGTCAGTGCTCGCAAATCCGCAGCCAACCCAGCTCTTTGAGATTAGCTCATCCGCCTCGTCCCATCTCCAAGGCAAGATTCTGAACTCTGGTGAGACACTGTCCACCAATCAAAACTGGTGGCTTCCGTAGCTCAGTTGGTTAGAGCGTCGTACTAATACTTCAACCTAAGTGTCGGTAAGAGGTACCTTACATTTAGTAGCTTAAAGAGAAGTACCTTCCCCTTACAGGAAAAGTACCTCTCTTTTCGCTTCTCTTCAGGTCTTAGGCTTAAGCCCTGGCGGGAGCAATCCCAACGCCATCCAGTTCTTCTTTTTGCCATCTGTGATGTCTTGTGTTGATGATCTGTTGAGGAATAGATGGATGAACCAGAGCTGTTGGAGTTGGGGTTTTGGTGCTGTTATGCAATTGGACCAATAGAGAGAAGAGTGGGGCACGTCTTTTATGCACATTTAGTGTGAGCTCTCAGACACTAACGAGCAGTATTTGACGGTAGATAAAGAGCCGAGAAACAATACGGTCCATTTGAAGAGGTGGTTGAAGCAAGTAATTGAAGACGTAGTTGCCGAGATCATTATTGTTGTGACATGTACCCACTGCATAAACACCATCCTTGTGGAGTCTATTGCATAAAACCATTCTTATGCATACTTAGCTTATGATGCGATAAACACCAATACCAGATTTATGCTGTTATGCATTATCAACCTTGACCTCAATGGCTTGCGTGGGGTATACCCACCACCTGTAGTCTGTACTCTCCCAGGATATTATATTTTTGGCTAAAGGCAGTATATGTTTCGAAAAGATCAAAATATCCATGCCATTGGATCCGAAACTCCATCATCCAGAAAATCGTCAACCATCTGCCAATGTCAGCAACGATCGAAAATCTCCAGCAATGCACTCACCAGAGAATCCCAGTCATTCATGAAGCTCAGATCAATGTCCTGTAAGTCTTGAATCTCTGTACCTTCAGGTTGTAATTGAGCCAAAAAGGACTCAAACACTACCAAGGCGTCTTGCATCGCCTCTTCACCAGCTTTCAATATGAACTCAACGATCTCAGTATCGGATAAATGTCGCATCATGCCCATAATTTGTGCCATCAAGATCGAAAGCATGAGATAACCTTTAATATTCGTCTCTCCGGCTTCAATGGTTCGCAAGTTCCATGATTTCGAGTCCTCCATGACCTTGAACAAGTCTGGTCGTACTGGTGCTAAAGAAAGGCCGTCGTCCTCTTGTACCGTACTCCTCAGTTCGAGGACGAGTATAATGCTGGACTGCCATGTTGAGAGTCGAAAGAACCCGGAGCTGCACGTGACGAGACGCACGAATTGTTGCTTGTCTGGAGAGGTTATGACACTATCTGCGGCTACGGCGGACCACATTCTGAAAGCTGACTCAACCGTCATCTTCCGTGAAAAGGCGTAGCTCGGTTCTTGTAAGGAGAGTCCATAGTAAGGAAAGTGGAGTGCGCAGAGATACCGACGCATGACGAAGTCACCTACTGTTAACTCAAACTCCGTTGGTGAGTTTTGGCTCTTCTTGCAGTCCTTCAACATACGATTGGCTTCCTTGTATGAAGCTTTCAGTTCTGCGTCAAGACGCAATGTCTCTTGATACGAGTCACCAGACTTGAGATCATTGAGTAACTTGACAACTTTGAGACGAGTCGCGAATGTCAATCGCAATGCCCTCGCAGTCGAAACTTGGGTGAAGACGCTATTAGGTCTGGGAGTCGCACCGTTGGTCATGATTTCGTCATCGTCAAAATTCCCTGGCGGCTCAGTATCGAACTCTCCTTCTGTAATCATTGGCGGTCCGCCAGATGAAAGACTTGACTGGAGGCAGAGTTCCAGGATCGTGTTCCAGAGTCTTCGTCGCATCTCGCAAGCCATTGTCGTGGTTTTCGATAAGAGTGCAGGGTCTCTGTGCAGACCCATTGATACGGCGGTCCTGAGGAGTGAACCGCATGCGATCCAGGACGATTCTCCTCCCACGGAGACCATCTCTCGGGCAAGAACAAGCAGAACATTTGTTTGTAGAAATTGAATGCCAAGTCTTGATTTGAACTCTGGCTCCGATATCCACGTCTGAACTTCGTATATCCACCGAACAGCCGAGGCTCGTAACGAGAAATTGTCATCGTAGGTCGTCGCGCCCAGCGCAAGCACCAATTTGAGCTGAGCCACAAAGTCTCTATCTGACTCAACACCAGAGGTCCATAGAGCATCATACTTGTTCCTAAATGTCGGCATGTGAAGTATACGATACACCTTCTCTATACCCTCCAGGTAACACTCGACGAGACAGTCGCAAAGAGCTTTGGATGCCAATTCAGTGGTGAGTGGTGTCGGCCATGCTGGCGCACGTAGTGCTTTGATGCGCTTTGCCATAGTCTTGCACTTCTGAACTGCGACAACAACATCTGAGGTCTCAGTTGCGTGCTGGTCGATAGCTTCTATTATGTCTCGGAGCTATTCTATGTTAGCATCTGCGAATGCGAATTGAAATATCGCGTGTTACCAAGGGTAGTCCACAAACAAAATGGCTCTGGCCGAAAAATCGCGACTTGTGAGAGATGGCTCGAGGCGTCGCTAATGCACCAACATGTTGCCTCTGAGAGTGCAGGTGAAACGTTCCACCCAATCTTGACGTCGAGGTTTCAAGTGTTGAAGCTGGCGTTGAGAAATGAGATTGCAATGGTGTTACAGTGGTTGATGACAATTGACTCTCGAGGTGACGCACTCTGTTTCGTAGCATGTCGAGTTCCTGAACAGATGATTGACTGACTGGTGTCGGCGCACCTGTTGAAGAGCTTGCTGCTCCTGCGCTCACACCAGGCAATACAGAGTTTGCGCTCGCGACAAGATCTTCAGGTGTTGGCAGTGAGAAAAAAGCATTGATATTTCCGGCTATTTCGGCAATATGATCTTGACTGGCTGTGCTTCTTTCTGCTGATGGAGGATTCTCGTAGACGCATTCGCCTTTTCTTGCACGCATGCAATTGCTACAGGGCGATCCGCGATTACAGCGCATCTTGCGCTTCCGACAAAGATTGCATGACCTGCGAGAATATTAGTCGAACTCACAATAGAATCGGAGATGAAGTTTGGTACACAGCTGGTCTTCGTCGACGACGCACGGGTTCCATTTTTGCGGTCTTTGATGATGTTTACTTGAGAAGGACTTGGGATGCGGAGAATTGTGTAATTCAAGTGATGAGAAATGCGCTCTTGGTGCTAATGGTTGTCCATTTGCCGGTTTTGGGCCTAACTCCGAGCCCGAGCCCGACTCCGTTGGATCACTATTGGTCAACCCACTTGTAAGCATGATAGAGGCTAGGAGACGACTCGACTCCTTGAAAGTCCTGCTCAACATAAAAGGAGCAAGCGACCGGGAAATACGAATAGGGAACTTTTCATGCCATCAACATATTTAATCAAGAGCCTCTTACCTATACACCACTTCAGCCCCTATTTCCCTGTCCCTCATCATGGCCGATCAGGACAACTTCATAAAGCTTCAGGATCAGGCACTTTCTGATTCTGGCAACAATATGGACCAAGTGGAAAAGACATCGTCACAAGATCCTCTTGGTCTTTTGCCTGCACCAGATGGAGGTCTCCAAGCATGGCTGGTAGCAGCCGGATCAGCCTGCATCTTCTTCTCATGTCTCGGCTTCGCCAACTCTTTCGGAGTTCTTCAAGAATACTACATGACTCATCAACTTCAAGGACATTCAGAAGATGCAATTGCTTGGATTGGATCCATATCGACCTTTATCCAATTTGCGGTTGGAGCTTTGAGTGGTCCCATGTTTGATCGTTATGGATCTTGGGCACGTTTTCCAACACATCATGAGATGATTGAGGCTAACTGTTTTATAGGTCCTCCGCCCAGCCGCTGTTACGTACATATTCGCGACCATGATGACGAGTCTATGCACCGAATATTGGCAGTTCATGCTCGCTCAAGGCATTCTCATGGGCACTGCAATGGCTTTCCTCCAGATCCCCGCTTTCGCTGCCGTTTCCCAATACTTTGACAAGAAAAGAGCCGCTGCTTTCGGAATAACCGTATCAGGCTCCTCCATTGGTGGAGTAGTCTTTCCGATCGCACTGTCGAAGATGCTGAACGACTCGTCTCTTGGCTTTGGCTGGTCCATTCGCATCATGGGCTTTGTCATGATACCTCTCATGTCCTTTTCATGCATGGCGGTCAGACCCCGTCTGCCCAGCAGAAAGACTTCCTTCTTCCTTATTGAGCCTTTTAAAAATCCTTTGTACTTGCTTGTCATAGGATCGCTGTTCTTTCTCTTCATCGGCATGTTTGCTCCGCTCTTCTTCATCCCGACTTACGCTGTCTCACGAGGCGTCAATCCTACGTTGGCATCATATCTGCTCGCCATAACCAACGCTGCATCAACATTTGGCCGCATAATTCCGGGAATACTGGCGGATAAATATGGCCGTTTAAACATGTACTCCCTCGGAGGACTGTGCACGGGGGTTGTCATTCTCTGCATGAACGAAGCAAAGTCCACAGCAGCCTTGGTGGTCTATGCTCTGGTGTTTGGGTTTTGCTCTGGAACTATCATCTCGGGCGTGTCAGCAGTCTTCACACTCGTGTCAAAGGACCCGAGGAACAACGGGACTTATGTGGGAATGGGACTGGCTGTGAGCTCTCTTGCAGCTTTGATCGGCCCACCTGTCAACGGTGTTCTTGTGGGCAAGTATGGGGGTTTCTTTCAGGTTTCTGTTTTCAGTGGTGTTATGTGCTTGTTTGGTGGATGCCTTGCTACTGTGGCCAAGTTGTGGACAGAGAAGGGGATGTTTGGTCGGATCTGAACTAGCTCTGGTATCACTGTGGCATGAGCATGGAAGCATCCTATGGTACTTCGCAAACTGTATTATATTCTACAAAACATGACTTGTTGGTATGTCTGGGAAATAATCATTATCATGTCCTTGTCGTTGCCCGCCTTTATCGGTAGTCTCATCATGGCTGTACAGTAACGTATCTTGACCAAGTAGTAGCTTCTCGGTTTCTTGAGAGTCCTTGCTTGGAAGACCTGGGCCAAGGTTATTGGTTTACACGAGACCTATGCAAGAAAAGATGCCCAGCGCCAAGTTGCTGGGTGGAATGAGGAGATAGAGCTTTTTAAGTCAACTATATTTGCGAGGTTAGTCAGTGCTGAATGTGGAATTACACGGGACAATGAACTTACATGCAGATGAAAAGTCCGCTCTAGAATACAGCAGTCTCAGCGTAGATCCCTTTGGAAATAAGAAAATAAATAGTAGATGTCTGCTTTGTCAGATGTAGGAACTTCAATGCATTTTAGAGTCTATCAATCAGCGTTTTGATCTGGGGTTAGTCCTGCATTATGGTGGAAGAATCTCGTATGTCTGTCCGTGTGCGTCAGAAACCCCGTGAGATAGCACCTTTGGCTCTTTTTGGGAGATCATCCCCAAGACAGGCCAGAAGCCTTTTTAGGGATCGGCTACACCTCTTTGAACAGTCTAGCGCAGCCATAGCCTCCAGCATCTGACATACTGCAGCTGACGTATGCCGTCTATTCTCCGAGACAGAGCGGTGATAGCGTCGAATAACCTCAGCTCCTGCAGCGTGCCGTGGACACAGTGCCGTGGATACGGATTGGAGACCATGGAAATAGTGCTCGAGAACTGGATATGGGTCGTAAATAGTACGCTTCCTGTATATCTTTTTATTTGCATTGAGAGGCTTCGATATGTATACTGTAGGATTAGCCGAGATGACTGAGAGGTCGGTGAGTTTTGCAGTGAGGCTTAGCATTTCTGCCACATCTGCTTCGTCTCGGCTCTCGTTTGCAGTTGTGGGTTGATCCCGACAATCGCCAGGATAGACTGTGCCAGTATTTACACCACACATGATGCTATCCGAAGGCTGCTGTGAATGTTGGTCGGCAGACATTTTATAAGTCAGCGAAGGAGTCCGGAAACAATGCGTTCCTGCTATGGGTTTGGTCTAGATGCACTTAATCCGTTTTTTTGCTAGATTTACTGGAAGAAGATATAGCATGAATGAAAGACGAGACTGGAGCTTTATGTAACTTGGTTTATCTTTAGCAAGGCGCCGATCAAACTCTGGATTGTTTAGTAAACTTTAAAAAAAACCATTTTTGCAAGCTTAGGGGACGAACTGTGTATGAGAATGAGGATTGAGTTTCTGTCGCCTTGTGATGTGTTCACGCTGAATGGAGATAAGGAAGTTCAAACCTTTGCTTATGCTCTTTAAAAAGAAAACTAATTCTCGACTAGGCCATGGACGCACAAGATGGACCTGATACACTTTTACAAATCAAAGGTTAACTCAGGGCTGGAAGGCGGCATTGCCTTTTGTAATGAGGGATGCTACGGCGAATGAGAACTGACTCCTATACCTGATGTAAAACTTGTTCGTTCTAAGTTCTGTCTGCAATTTAAGCTCTCAGCCACAAGTCTCTACTAAAAATAACAGATCTAGATAGCAACTTAGACATTATACCGAACTTGTTCGTTCATAGGTTGCTGAAGATACAGGGAGACTAGTGAGTAGAAGTCAGGTTTGTCTCGACGGTACCCATCGACTGATATATGAGAAGTCAGAAACGAATTAAGCGTATGACGAGAGCATGGCACAAAGAGAACTCAGCTTCGGTAGCTCGATAGAAACTAATTAATGCAGCTAGCGATATCCCAGAGCTTCAGTAATTTCACCTTTTCACTAACAGAGCGATGAACTCTTCTCCTAGTCTTTGTCCCGATTCTGTGCAGTTTGGTGTCAAGCACCTCGATGCAAAACTTTAGGTCTGAGTTTGGCAAAGGCCATGCTTTAGTTAGCCAAACTTTGCGCGAACGAGGCTCAGAGGAGTCGAGTTCAGAGTGCTAAACCGTTCTTGTGAGCGAGGAGAGTTGCCGAGTTACCGCAACGAAACCTCAGAGTGGTGCTGACATATAGAGGTGGATATAAAGAGTGTGCTGTAACCATTCTGGTGAACATGGCCGTAGCATGCAGAGCAGACGAGAATCAAGGACTACGGTAGCTGGCCTTTATCGTCGACAGCCGGTAGCGAATTATGGATAAAAGAGCGAACGGACAATCCTCAAGTTTTAATCCTTATATAGTTGCACTTAATACGCTGGTAAGATATGCGATCGGCTGGCAGGCTGTCGCATCAAGATGGGAGGCAAGGTGAGGGGAATCCAAGAGCCATAGGGCACAGGCATCAAAGTGCGGCCGGCTGACAATCGACTGGCAGCTATAGAGGTTATGCAAAATGTATAATATGGCTTTTTAACCTGCTTGCATGTAAAGTGGGAACTCGGGATGACGACTGAACGAACACAAGTGGAAGAGATGATACTACCAGAGGAGCTGCTTTATTGACGAGAGATGCCGATGACATTCACGACGTGGGAGTGCGAGCCTTGGTCTTGCTCTTGACGGCACGAAATAAGAGAAGAGAAGAATCGAGAATGGTTATACGAAACCCTCAGTATGCAGAATGAAGAGATACATAGCTTGAGGACTTTATGGCGAGGCTGAGGTTAATGCCCAACACAATCCTCTGTGCCTTTTCCCTTCCAGCTTTACTACTCCTCTTCCTTGTCCTCTTGCTTCTCCACTTTCTGCCGCTTTCTCTCTTCCAGCCTTGTTCATTTCGATGTTGATGATAATTGGACTTACGGCGACCGGCGATGGGGACTGTGGGATGTTCCTAGGCCTCATCAGCATTATACAATTTCGTGGAGGATGTAATTATAAACTCACGTCCCTCTTTTCCGTTCCAGCCAGTCCAATTCCTTGCGAAAATGTGATAAAACTGGCAGCCAGGTTCAGACGAGACTATGACAACTTTAGGCCTAGATCTTCTAAAGTTTAGGCACTCCTTTGCCAAACTTTGCCGAGTTTAGGCTCGTGGCGGGGTCACATACCGTTGGTTTGGGCCATGCACTCATCAGAAACGATCAAGCAATGTTGCGACAATAGGCATTGGAATACCTTCGCTGCGGGAGCGGCCACCGGCGACTGCTGTTGCTGTTGCCTCGAAGGGCGACGCGAGGTGTTGGAGGACTGTTCTTGAGCTTCCCAGTGCTGTCACATGTCAGTATACCATAGAGCTTCCCCGATACTAAACACGGGACTAAACTTACCGCCATATGGGCTTCGGCTTCCTGTAGAGAGAAAACATGAATCAGTATCATCAATACCGGGGTCATCTCGGGCTGGGAAGAACCTACCTCTCGTGATCCAGGCTGAGTACCAGCGTTACTATACTCGTCATATGTATTTGGCCAGTCGAGTGGAGAACTTACAGTCGGTTTGGGCTATAAACTCATCAGCATCAAAGAGGCAACACTGGGACATTGGAAGCTTGAAATACCTTTGCCGCCGGAGCGGCCACTTGCTGCTGCTGCTGTTGTTGCTGCTGCCCCGAGGGGCGACGCGAGGTGTGCGAGGACTAATCCCATAGATGTGTCAATCAATGAAAAAAAAAAAAAAAATCTTGTGATGATTTTACTTACATTGGTGAAGTTTCGCTGTCACACAAGTTAGTCATTTGGTCCAAGAGTGTCAAAGAATGAACTTACGTGGCCACGGGCGTGGCCAAAGCCACCCCGGGAGGGCTGCTGGTCCTAATAAGCCCGTCAGCGAGAGATCAAAACAGTGAGCATCAACTTGAAAATAATCACGCGTCGATGGTTTGAATGGGCGTACTCACCGCAGAGTTCCGATGGGCTGCTCACGTATTTGTGTTGATTGCTCGTTCATGCACTGCGGCAAAGAATGTTTCGGCTCAGCAATTGCAACGGGCGTGAACGCGAAGGCACAAACATGTCCACCTTGTTTTGGATACTGCCGTAAGGTGTGCGATGGGTATTGGCGCTCGGTCGGACTGTCTGGGGGGATTTTCAGATGCATGAAAATGGTGTTTTGATGAGGCGCGTTGTAGGACGAGAGTTGCGAGGGGGAAAAGGAAAGGCAAGTGGAGCGTGAATGAAGGAGAGAGATGAATGGAGTCGTATCAAGGATCCAAGGCAGCGGAGGAAGCTCGCTTCCATTGGGTCGATGAGTCAGGAACGGGCTGAACTTGCCGAGTGGCAGTGACGGCCACTTTAGCATGAGGCATGAACCGGGCCGTTTGTTCCGCTCGATCTACGGAATATTTATGATGAAGCTCGCCTAAGCTTAGAGAAGACTTTAGAGGAGTTTAGGCCTAAGCTTTGCTAAATTTAGGCCTTTCTCATCTAACAACCAGCCTAAGGTGCCTAGGTCTGTGAAACCCACCTCTGCTCTAAGAAGGTTAGTATTGTAGTAAATTATAGATGATGAAGGAAAACTTACTCGAGGCATCGCAGAGTTCCGATGGCTTGGAGAAGGGAAAAACAAGACTGGGGATCGGCGTGCTTGTCATGGTGTTGAACTCGACCGGGCACAGAGGCAAGCTCAATGTCTTTGTCTGTCTTAGTCCTCGGCGGGCTCACATCTCGAAGCACCTCCTTCGTCATCGTCTGTGGGGAGACTGAGGTGCCCTTGGTAGTTAACCATAGTCCATCATTCGGGCCGTGCACACACTACATGGAGATGACACTCGCAAGAAACTACAGTGACAGTCTGGCGTTTGACTGTCACTATTAGAGTTGGTCATCCATCCCTGGCCCTTGCTACCTCTATCGACTTTGCACCGCTTCCCATGGGCAAGGTGGATAAAACACGATGGTACCAGACAGTGTCTGCTGTAGACTGAACCTGTTGCTGTAGCGTCAATTTGTTGATTTTCTTTTTGAACGGAAATCTTGACGCAATGACACCGAACGAATGCTGTCTTTGAAAGGTTACACATGTTGTACAATATGTTGTCACTTATTCAAGTTGTCCTCAATGACTCTGGTCCAAAACAGTCGATGAAGTTATTTATTAAGAAACTCTTTTTTTACTATAGGTGCCCTTTTCTTAACTCCAAATCATGAACCAAGAATGCCAGGTACTGCTGATGTTCGCTTTTCTTCGCCTCCCTTCGCATCTGTCTCCAAGCCAAACTCGAGGGTCTCCATTGACTGAGCCGGTGCGTACACTAAGACAGGCTCCTAAACAAATCGGTTGGTAAATACACGTTGGGGCTAGGTTCGTGGGGCGCATGAGAACAAGAGGATTGTCAAGCCGTGTATCAATAGTTGGAACCCGAGGGAAATGCCAAATACCCAGGTACTGCCCCGTGGACGTTGTGCGGCGCGCGATGTAAAGATCAGATGCCACATTTGTTCGCTCAAAAAGATCCGACAAAGACACAGACCTTACTACGCGATAGTCCAAGATGCCTAAACCTTTTGGCTTATCATCTGATAAGGTTCCGTGGACGCAGGTTATCCCGCCTCACGACATATCTCATTAGTTCTTCGGGAGGGAGTCGATCGTCCTGCCCAGAATCCGATTCGCTGAGATTATACTTGAAGCTCTGCTCTCCGTACTCGATCTCGGTCGACTTGTCGCCTATCAATCTGTCGAGCAAGGACAGAAAATGAGACAGTGGACTATCCCAGCTGAGTTGATGAGAATTTATTTCGAAATATTCGTGATCACAATCCATGTAGATCGGATGATAACGAGCCAGTGCTTCATTCTTGACGTGTCATAGAACGTTTCTATCGATAAGGAGAACACTCTTCCTGTGTTCCTTGTTATGGGCTTGATCGAAAAGTAATCTGATCAAAAAGGCCAAAGACGGAGGATAGTCGCTGACATGGGTATCCTCACTGAACCTTTCGATGGTCTGATACCAGGATGGGTCAAACTCGACAGCGACGTTCGTCACATCATCGATGAAGTGACGCCCCCATTCATCCTCAGCATCGGTGTGAAGCGGTTTCCAGTTCCTGACCAGTGGTTCCCATGACTCGGCAGTGACGCAAAATATATCTCGCTCCATATCAGCGACTTGATGCCAGGGTTCGTAGTCGCCTTTTCTGTGTATAAGTCCTTGTCGAATGTGAATGGGAAGAGAAAAAGGTTCCGAAAGAAACCAGATAACATCACCAAGACTTTTATCCTCGGTGTTCTTCTGGAAATCTGACCATCCCTGACTACTCTAATGCTTTCCAACAATATCTCGAGATTCTTTGCAAGCAGTCCAAAGACCTGCGTGCCATAGATATGCCGATCTGTTTCTTGGGCCAGTCGCTTGCCATTCGCAGTTCAGGGGGGCAAGTTGCCGGTTCTCATTCAATTGGATATAGTGCAGACCAAAACGGCCACAACCCCAATCAAAACATGCATCTTACCAGATTTGCAGCCGGATCTCGACAGGCAAGTTTGGGAATGGTTGGAAAGTGGCTCGACTCATGGTGGATCGAGCGTGGAAGGTGAACGAGAAAGTGGAGAGTGTTTGTGCTAGGATTCAAAACTGAGAAATGGGTTTTATTTATATGTAGCCCGGTTTAGCGGTTTACTGTACAAGCTCTGCGTTGGCAAAACCTGAGATCACAAAGGCGAGAGCTTCTTATATAAGTGTCAAACTTTAGACAGCCCATCTTGCGACCCGCGACTTTAGGTTTAGATCTTAAATCATATTGAGAAGCCAACGAAGAAATGGTCGAATAAGATTATGTGAAGAAACCACCACAAAAGTATACTCTCGAGTATCTTGCTCAGGCCTTATGAAATGCTTATGCTAGTTCTACCAACTCTGCTACCATCAACCGGCTGTTGAGATCAAGACCCGTCATGCGCTTTGGTCTGGACAAGATGCTACTGACGGATCATTGGTACTTGTTTGTCTCGTCTCAGAACTGATATCAAATAGTCAGTATCGAGGACGTGAGTCCTAAGATGCCAGTCGGAAGCATCATTTAATTTCCTCATGAACAAGTAACTGAGATCATTGGTGAAGCCTTCCATAGGACTGTCCGGATGTGGAATATGCGTACTAAAGCCCAGAACATATCCCAGTTCCACGTACTCCTGGCCGGAATCGAAGACCCTACATCCACCATGTCCTTCAGTGTCGAATGATTGCCATTCAGATTCATCGTCGATCAGCATAACCTTCGATCGGCCACGAAAGACTTCGCGCGCAACCTCAAAAAGTAGTCTGATCATAAAAGCGAGTGGGGGAGAGAAGTCACGGAGAACAGTGGCGAAGCAGGCATTCTCCAGTTCTTCTTCCCAAGATGGGTCAAACTTGACACCAATGTTCTGAGGTTTCCTCAATCGCCTTCGACCTCGAGCATCCTCGGTCTGAACATATATGGGTCTCCAGGGTCTCAGAAGAGACTCCCATGAATCGGTGGTGATGAAGCATATGTCCTGAGTAAGGTCTATAACTTGGCTCCGGGGCAAAGAATCGCTGTGTTGGGCGGAAATTACCCTCATGCAACGCCGCGGGCGTGGCAACCTGAAGTAAAGATCTTCGAAATCTCTTACAGCATAATGAGACTCCCTGCAAGCTGTCCATAGCCCTACATGCCATATATAAGAATGCCACGTGTAGCCAGATCTGTTGCTTGGGTCATCAGTCCTCAAATCGTAGTCCCGAGGCCAGATGTTTCTATTTTCGTCCATATACATATAGTGAATGTTCCTGAGCCTCTCGCTCGGTCCCAGCTGCAAGCAGGCATCTTGCCAGATTTGCTCGCGCAACTCAAAAGGTAGTCGGGGAAAGAAGTGGAATGTGCTAGTGTCCATGATGAGCTTCAGGTGTCGGCTGTTACTGGCGACTCGAGGATTGGTTGACAGATGAAGGACAAGAAGAGAGTCGAGCAGTTACTTACACACAGTGGTGACTCTGAGACTTTATACATGAGACCCTCCGGAGTGAGTCAGTGTCCCAAAGAAGCTTTCTTAGATGTTGCAGATCATTGGATGGCCGCGTGCGTGATGCATTTATACGTTTTTACTTGAATCTTAAAGTAAAAATTTGTCGGATAATGTTGGCAACTTGAACCCTAAAATCCCAAAAAGATCCTTTCTCAAACGCAAGACAAATGAGATACTCTTTAGGGGTTCTACATCGGCAGTCATTTGCAGATACCCAATGCAGAAGCTTTACTTATGAGCCTCACATATCCCAAGATAATCTCATGACTACCTGTTCCCAACACTGGAAAAGGCCAGTATTCTATTTTAATCCTAAAACTAATTTTCCATTACATACTTCATGGAGACAACGTCTCAACGAAGTTCAAGTAGAGCCCTGCAGCTTGAACTTAAGATACAAAAACAGTGCAAAACACCACAGCCACTCTAAACTACCGTCTCATAGTACAGCCAGCTTTTCCCTTACGAGTTTCCTATTCGGCGAAGTTACCGAAGCAGAATGTCTTACATTAGGCGGAATAGCACTGCCTGTTGTAATCTTGGGCACCACCTCCTTATCACGCCGGGCCATGACCCGCACCAACTTCCGTACAGACAGCCTATCGGGCGGAAGCCCGTAATCGCCCCATGCCCATGGGGATGTCTTTCGTTTCCAGGTCAATGTGTATTTGAGAAGTCAATCAACCTGATCTAAAAACCTGAGCATGGGGGCGCTTCGGACAAGACGATTTCTGGCGAGAGGATTACTTGGGTCGAGCTGGATATACTCGTGTTTGCAATCGTAATGTACCGAGAGTTCCTTGGCGTTGCTAACTATCTTCCAGCCAGAGTATCTATCGATAACATGTATGACCAAGGGTAGACTTACGTAGGGTTTAAAATTCCTATAGGTACCTAATAATAGCTTAATGCCTAGTTACC